TGGTTGAACTAAAAAAGTGAGTCTAGCTGCATTTAAAAGAACCATCTTTTCGCTTTTGGTGAAACAAAAAGCAGTTCAATCACGCTAGTAGCTGAGATTTTCCGATTTTTTTAGCATCCGAGTCTGTTTTTTGAGCGAGCAATTTTTTCAAAGTGAATTTCTAAAATGTATTCCGCTAAAACCCTTCGGATAGAAAAGCGCTTGTATCGACATTTAAAAGAGCGCCCTTTTCTCTATTAATGCCATAAAACTCAGTTTAATCGCGATAGTGAGTCAAATTTTACAAATTTTTGATCATTTGAGTGCGCTTTTTGAGCGAGCCATTGTTGCAGAGTGAGTTTCAAAAATTAATTCCGGACAAACGCGTCAAGATATGAAAACGCATGCAGTAGCATTTGAAAGAGCGCTCTTGTTGTCAACAATATCACAAAATTCAGATCATTTGCGTTTTTGGCTGAGATTTTGCGGATTTTTAATCATCAGAGTGCGCTTTATGAGCGACCGCTTGTTATAGAGTGAGTTTCAAAAATTCATTACCGAAAATCTGCTTGAGATAAAAAAGTGAGTCCAGCTGCATTTAAAAGAACCATCTTTTCGCTATTGGTGAAACAAAAATCAGTTTAATCACGCTAGTGGCTGAGATTTTTCGATTTTTTTGTCATCTGACTGTATTTTTTGAGTGTGGTAGTTTTCCAAAGTGAGTTTCCAAAATGCATTCCGCAAAAAGGCCTTCAGCTAGAAAAGCGAACTTTGCGGCAGTTAAGAGAGCGTAGGTACTTTTCGTAAGCAATTCCATAAACTTCATTGAAATCGCGCGTTCGACCGATATTTGACGATTTTTTTTATCATCTGAGTGCGCTCTATAAGCGCACGTTCGTTGGAGAATGAGTTTTAAAAGAGCATTCGGACCAAAACCCTTCGGATAGAAAAGCGCTTGTATCGACATTTAAAAAAGCGCTCTTTTCTCTATTAATGCCATAAAACTCAGTTCAATCGCAATAGTGAGTAAAATTTTACAAATTTTTCAAAAATACGTTCCATACAAACGCCTTAAGATAGGAAAACGCATGCAGCAGCATTTGAAAGAGCGCTCTTATTGGCAACTATACCACAAGATTTAGATCAGTTGCGTTTTTGGCTGAGATTTTGCGGATTTTTGATCATCAGAGTACGCTTGTTGTAGAGTGAGTTTCAAAAATTCGTTACCGAAAATCTGGTTGAGATAGAAAAGTGCGTCTAGCGGCATTTAAAAGAGCCATCTTTCCGCTATGGATGTAACAAAACTCAGTTGAATCACGCTAGTGGCTGAGATTTTCCGATTTTTTTAGCATCTGAGTCTGTTTTTTGAGCGAGCAATTTGTTCAAAGTGAGTCTCCAAAATGCATTTCCCAAAAACGCATTTAAAAGTGCGAATTTTTCTTTATAAGTGCCATAAAATTCAGTGCTGTCGCGCTTTAGTCTGAAAATTTACGATTTTTAGTTACTTTAAGCTAAAATACCTCCAACATTTGAAAAGGTAAGCAAGACTTTATCACTCCTATAAAATGACACCATGTGCACTTATTTTTGAAGCGTTTGCAGGTTTCTTGGTAGTCCAGAATCCAAGCAATTGTATGAAAACTGACTTGAGATGGCAACTCAAGCTCATAATGAGGACATCGGCGAAGATAACTATCCCGAATTAGAAGAAATCATCCAGTTTTTACAAATTAAGAACCCAAAATATCAATTTTCCGTTATTTATAATTTGTTTTGTAAACCCAGTGTTAAATACAATACAGCTAAACATTTTGCTGACAGTTTTTTGTCTCCCAAGTTGGTTAGACGGAAAATCGATTTTTCCCAAAAAGTGACTCGGATGGACATGTATGCTTTCCCGCCCGGGGCCAATTTTCCTCAACTAACATCCAATGGGGTTTCTTTAGCGGAAATTCTCACCACCACCCGCCGGCCCAGCTATACCGACCCCACCCCAGTCCCGCCCACTATTGACGTGGTCATATCGGGCAGGAACATCGAGATCTTCCAGATAGGCAGCAGCGTCACTCTGAACTGTTCGGCCATATCCAGGATCATATCAACAGTAAGTGGCCGAGCCTCCCCCTCGTATAAGCAATGTAGTTGTCCAGTTGACTTGAGGAGGGTTTCCCCGTTGTTTAGGCTGTACAAATCGACTGGTCCAAACACAACGATCGTCTGCCCTTCAACGCAATTGACGATGGGCATGGGCTGCTCTACATCCGGAACTTATCAGCTACCGATTCGGGCCGCTACGTCTGCAGGGCTGATGATGGCTACTCGGTGGTGACTGAGAGCATCAACATAGTGGTTGGAGGTAAGTTCCCTCCTTTCCCCACTGTTCCTTGGAACCAGACAATCTCACCCCCTCTAATTTTCTGAGTGTTTTCCATGCGGCATTCAGTCGTGTATACAGAGAGCATGAACCGATCCGGTGGGTATTTTAAGGGGCGATATTGTGCAACTTGCTAACGCGTTTTTTGGTTGGTAGAAGGCGACTCCAGGAGCTCCGCCCCCGTTATTTCCCTTGCGCCTCCATTTGTGCAGGCCAGCGAAGGCCAAATGATCGAAGTGAGATGCGGCGCCTCTGGAAACCCCCTTCCAGAGTTCTACCTGAGCCGCACGGACCGCCAGCCGCTGAACCCAACGGTAGGTGCTTCGCTTCCAGCTCCAACCGGTTCTGAGCAACATCAATTTGCAGCATCTTTTTGAGAACGGCGTCTTCAGAATTCTACAAGCTCGCGTTTCCGATGCTGGGCAGTACCAGTGCAGCGCAGTGAACCGAGCCGGGCAAGATTCCAAGAGCTTTGAGGTCCAGGTTAATGCTGGATCGGTCCTCCAGGTCGACATCAGACCCAATCGATTTGAGGGCCGAGTTGGTAAGTCATTGGATGGGTTTTGGGGTAGTTAAAAAACACGATCTCTACTCAGGCGACCGGGTCGAGCTCACGTGCGTCGCAGGCCGCGCTCAGAACATCCGCTGGACCAAAGAAGGAGAACCGATGCCCTACCAATCCAGAGACGAAGACGGCGTTCTGATCATCCCCAGCGCTCAGCCCTCAGATGCTGGCACCTACATTTGCACCGCCACGTCTTACGACGGCACCAGAGGCACTCAGTTCGCCACTGTGACGATCCAAGGAGGCAGGGGGTAGGTTCTGAGCCAGCCAATGAAGCCAACGGGTTTACTGGAATTTTCCTGCAGCCAAGCAGCGACGGCACGAGCCGTTCCCGAGCAAGTCAACATCCGCCAAGGCGAAACTGCTGAAGTCAGATGCGAAGCGTCGGGCACTCCAACGCCAGTGGTGAAGTGGACCAGAATGGGGAACCCGATGGGCCAAAGCGCCGAGCAGATCGGCAACAATTTGCGCATCACCAACGCGCGAGTTGAGGATCGGGGCGTCTACATTTGCGCCGCCTCCAACGAACTCGGCCTGGAACAGGCCGCTGCGCATATCGAAGTCACCCGTAAGTGCCCAGGAGGGAGAAACGATCCAGGATCGAAGTGTGGCTGTTGCAGGATTTGAGGCTCCCCTGGTGCAGATCCTCCCAGACGGAGGCCTGATCTTTGTGAGGTCTGGAAACAGTGCCCAGCTACAGTGTAGAGTCATCGGCGGGTATCCCTCCCCCACAGTCACCTGGCGCCGAGAGGCTGGACAGGCGCTGAGTCCGAATGTGGAGCTTTTGGCCGGAGGCAATTTGAGGTACAAACTTTGGAAAACCTCCACTTGCAAGTTAGCAGGATACCGGGCGGAAGCCAGTTCAGGTGCCAGTCAGTGACAACTTGCCAAATGAACTCCCTCAAAGCCTTGATAATTGTCCTTCTGCTGCTGGCCATCGTGTACTTGATGGCCGAGAACTTGTGCACGTTCATCCTGCTGGCTCTGCTGATTAACTTCATCGGCTACCTACTGGCTTTCTGAGCCAATTGCCAACATTGCAAGTTGCTTCTTTAGGATCACTGATGTCACCCCTGCGGAAGCTGGCCAGTACGTCTGCTCAGCTACCAACGACGCTGGAACGGCCCAGGCTATTGCCCACATCACCGTCAACACTGAACCCACCTTATCAGTGACTCCAGACCAAGAGAGTGTGATTAAAGCTGTGAACGATCACCTGCAGCTGATCTGCTACGCAAGCGGCCATCCTCAGCCCACAGTCAGCTGGGTCAAAGCAACCAGCTCCGAATAGTAAGCTAAAATCAATGATCTGAAACGGCTGGTTGTGTGCACCATCGGGGCTTTTGCAGCTACAGCTCGGCTAGAGGGCAGGGCCAACTCTCCCCGGCTTACCTGGAGTTCACCAGCTTGCGCCCGGAAGATGCAGGAATTTACGTGTGTATCGGGCAAAATGAGGCCGGAGTCGCCGAAAGGAGAGTGCGGGTCGATATTTTGCCTGAACGCGGGGATAATCCAGGTAAGAACTAAACACGCTAGGGATTAGTAGGGAAGACTTCTGAGTCCCTGGCGATGCAACCAGATATTTAATAAGCAAATTACGGGGAAAAGATGAGATATTTTTTTGGTTGGTTGATCTGGTTGCAAATCCTCACTCAGCCGCAGCAAATAATAGACTTACAGCTTAATAGTCGTTAAGGCTTTTTAATGTAAACTAATTTTGTGGTGTCTGCTTCTTTCCACATGGACCGCTACTAACAACCGACGGATAGGACGAAGGCCTGCAGGTAATCAAATAACTGCTTATTCTGCTGCTATCAAGACTAGCTCCCAAACAGGCGTTTTCCCTGTGCTTCCTCCCAAAGGGAGAAAGGCTGGGGAAATGCCTCCAATCCCTCTACGTTTGAGTCTGATGCACATTAACTGTCCAGGTGGCGATACCAGTTCCTCTCCAGCCAGTGTGGAAGAATTCAATGCTATCGCAGGAGCCAAGGCGGAAATTCGCTGCAACGTAACCAGCTCAGGAGACCTCAACTACCATGTGGAATGGGTCAGAGGAGGCAACCAACCCATGCCAGCCGACACCTACACGCGACATGGAATCCTCATCATTGACAATGTGCAGCCCTCGGCCGCAGGAGAGTACGAGTGCGTAACTTATCAGTTGCCCCGCAGGAATGTGCTGTTTAGGATCAGAAGTCGCCTCCGAGTCATTTGTAAGTTTCCCTACTCAGTCCCTGGAAGTGAACGCTTTTCACTTTGTACTGTACAAAGCACAGTCGGGCTTTTAGCACCATTTTTCATGGAAATCCGTTTCTCTGTTTCATCCAGCCGAAGAAGACATATGTTTACCTGAAGGTACTGTATGTTTTCATCGGCCTGCCTTGTTAGGATGTTCGAAAATTTGGTTTTTTGATGTGTTTTGCTATCAGCAGGCATGCCTTAGTTGATTGGTGGGTTTGGATGCGCATGATGATGTTCGGGGGAGTTAATGGGGGATTATTCAGCTGTTGTCCACTAGGGGAGTCAATAGCGCTTGCAGGGGAGCTATTTTTTGGCTCTATGCTGACTATTTTGACCTATTGTCGATGATTTTAAATGCTGTTGATCCATGAAGAATTTTGCTGTTGAAGGAGAGCCCCTACTGAACGCGGTGTAGGTTTTCAACGGCCTGCCTTGTGAAGATGGTGGAAAATTTGGTTTTTTGATGTGTTTTGCTATCAGCAGGCCTGCCTTAGTTGATTGGTGGGTTTGGATGCGCATGCTGCGGTTTGGGGGAGTTAATGGGGGATGATTCAGCTATTGTCCACTAGAGGAGTCAATAGCGCTTGAAGGTGGAGCGATTTTTTGGCTCTATGCTGACTATTTTGACCTATTGTGGATGCTTTTAAATGCTGCTGATCCATGAAGAATTTTGCTGTTGGAGAGCCCCTACTGAATGCGGAGTAGGTCTTTAGCGGCCTGCCTTGTTAGGATGTTGAAAAACTTGGTTTTTTGATGTGTTTTGCTATCAGCAGGCATGCCTTAGTTGATTGGTGGTTTTCGATGCGCATGCTGAGGTTTGGGGGAGTTAATGGAGTATGATTCAACTGTTGTCCCCTAGCGGAGTCAATCGCGCGTGAAGGGAAAGCGATTTTCTGGTTCCATGGTGACTATTTTGACCTATTGAGGATGCTTTTAAATGCTGCTGATCCATGAAGAAGTCTGTTGTTGAAGGAGAGCTCCTACAGAAGGCGGAGTAGGTCTTTAGCGGCCTGCCTTGTTAGGATGTTGGAAAATTTGTTTTTTTGATGTGTTTTGCTATCATCAAGCATGCCTTAGTTGACTGGTGGTTTTCGATGCGCATGCTGAGGTTTGGGGGAGTTAATGGGGGATGATTCAGCTGTTGTCCACTAGCGGAGTCAATGGCGCTTGAAGGGAGAGCGATTTTCTGGTTCTATGCTGACTATTTTGACCTATTGTCCATGATTTTAAATGCTGCTGATCCATGAAGAATTTTGCTGTTGAAGGAGAGCCCCTACTGAAGGTGGAGTAGGTTTTCAACGGCCCGCCTTGTGCGGATGTTGGAAAATTTGGTTCTTTTTATGTGTTTTGCTATCAGCAGGCCTTCCTTAGTTGATTGGTGATTTCAGATGCGTATGCTGAGGTTTGGGGGAGTTAATGGGGGTGATTGAGCTGTTGTCCACTAGGAGAGTCAATGGCGCTTGAAGGGAGAGCGATTTTCTGGTTCTATGCTGACTATTTTGACCTATTGTCGATGATTTTAAATGCTGTTGATCCATGAAGAATTTTGCTGTTGAAGGAGAGCCCCTACTGAAGGCGGAGTAGGTCTTTAGCGGCCTGCCTTGTTAGGATGTTGGAAAATTTGGTTTTTTGATGTGTTTTGCTATCAGCAGGCCTGCCTTAGTTGATTGGTGGTTTTCAATGCGCATGGTGTGGTTTGGGGGAGTTAATGGGGGATGATTCAGCTGATGTCCACTAAGGGAGTCAATGGCGCTTGAAGGGGGAGCGATTTTCTTGTTCTATGCTGACTATTTTGACATATTGTGGATGCTTTTAAATGTTGCTGATCGAAGAAGAATTTGGTTGTTGAAGGAGGAGTAGGTTTTCAGCGGCTTGTCCAGTTAGGGGACAGTCATGTTTTTGCTTTGATCTATTTAATTTGTAGCAAGCATGTCTTAGCTGGTTGGTAGTTTTGGATGCACTAATTTGATTTCAGGGGAGTTAAGGATGAAGGAATATTCTCGTTTCAGAAACATCATTTAATTTCCCTTTCTACTTGAGTGAAAATCAGCAATTTCTTATATAAAACCTCCTCCGTTTTAGCGCCTCCAAGAATCACGCTGGACCCGATCAGGCAAACAGTGGAAGCAGGCCAACAGGCCTACATCATCTGCACGGCGACGGGCGACCAACCGATCGACATCCAGTGGGTTCCAGTGAACCGCAGTATGCCAGGTTCCGTCTACACTGCTGATGGCTACATCAGGTTCAACAACATCCATCAGAACGACGCTGGAAAGTACCGATGCATCGCAAGGAACCAAGCAGGAGAAGCGGATTCTGTTGCAGAAGTGATCGTCTCTTGTATGTGTTGGTTCGGTTGTTCTTGCAGCTGTTGTTGACTGAGGTTGGGTTGCAGACCGGCCTGAACTCCATCAACCGGGCGTTGAAGCGGCCAGCCATCGAGTCACATCGGCCGCCGGGAAGAACGTCTCCCTAATTTGCCGGCCGGGGATCCAGAATGAAGGATACCCAGTTAGGTGGACGAGGGATAGTAATGGTTTGCCAGCCAACTCCAGATTGATTGGGACGGTTCTGGAGATTTTCGATGTGAGGAAGGAGAACGAAGGGCAGTACTACTGCGAGGTCCAGACGCCCCAAGGCCTAGTTTCGGATTACGTGATTCTGGAGGTTGCAGGTAAGCCCCAAAGTGGCTAGAAGTGCTGGCACTTTTCGAGCAAGAATCCGGACGATTGTTGTTCGGAAAATAGCTGATTTACGTTGATAACTGTGGTTGCATGATGAACAGCTCCCCCTAATGTTGACTGTCTCCCTGGATGGTGGCGTTGCGACAACGGTAACTGTATAGACCAAGACATGGTATGCGACGATGTCGACGACTGTGGCGACCACTCGGACGAGTCCTCGTGCTTCTCCACCAGGACCTCATGGGGTTTGTTAACACTTAGACAAGATTAGACGCTTCCTCTAGCTGTCTTCCGACCTACCTACTCTCCTCAGTGACGTCGTCTCTTCTTCGGATTGTTGTTTTTGGTTTAGGGCCGCAACTCCTCTGTTTTGTGTTTGTTGATTAATCGGTTGGGTGGTGCCAGCTGGGGCGCAGTCGTTCAAAACCTCCAGAGGGAGATTGAAGAGACCACAGCAGGCATCACCACATGTTAGTGTCCGCGCATGGTATAGACACTAAATCCTCTTGGTTGGTAACTTCGAAATGTGTGCTTTGTAACAACTAATGTCTGGACTTTCTCCTCCGTAATGTGTTCTACTTCTCCTCTCCAGAGCACCAAGTAATGTCGCACCATCTGTTATAAAACCCTGCAACTTAACATCTTCTCGAATGTTGTATCTGAGAAATAGTGTCGATTGGTTTTTTGTTGGAAACTGTAGTCGTTGCTCTAACTTTGAACATTTGAATTTCCTCAATGATCAGTGGACTGTTTTAAAGGTCTGGAAGTGAAGAGTCTTCCAACGCCGTTGCCTGCCTTGCACATCAGTCCAGAAGTGCCGGAGTATCCAGTGGGGGCCAATGTGGACCTTCGCTGCCAGTCCAATGAGCCGGGCGTGATTCCGGCCTGGTCCAAGCTGGGCGGCGGATTGGCCGACAATGTCCAAAATCGGGCAGGAAGACTGACGATCTACAACGCTAAGACTGAGAATGAAGGCACCTATCGGTGCGAAGCCACTGGCCAGCAGGGCAACTACTACAAGGACTTCACTTTGAATATTAAAGGTAACTGCCCGACCTTTTAATGAAACGTTTTTGAGCTGTTTGTGTTTGTGGTTTTAAGCCTCGGACGACCCGCTAAGGGACGAGGTGCCCTTGCAAGTCCAACGAGCCAAACGCCACTCCTCAGTCATCCTGGAATGCAACACCGACCTGGAGGAACCCGTCTCCTACTTCTGGAGCAAACAGGGCGGCAGCCTACCGTTCAACGTCGACGAATACAGCGTAGGTTCCCTCCCCCAGTCCCAGTCATCAGTAGATCAATCAATCAATCAATCAATGGACTCTCCTTGCAGAAATCCATTCAGCTGAACTCAGTAGGCGCCATCGATGCGGGCACGTACATCTGCACCGCCAACAGCCAGCAACGCACTTTGGATGTGGCCATTGTGCTGGTGGTGACTGGAATCATCCCCTACTTTACCCAGGCGCCCAACAGCTACATCACGCTGCCCACTCTGCCCGACGCCTATCTGCAGTTCAGCTTCGAAGTCTCCTTCAAGCCGGAGAACAACTACGGCCTGATCCTCTACAACGGCCACAGGGAGAAGGAGCGGGACGGCGACTTCATTTCGCTGAGTCTGGATAATGGGGTGCCGGAGTTCAAGATCAATTTAGGCCCTGGAACGGCCACCACCACTGTCAGGGGCAATGGGACTCTCGGCGAGAGGCAGTGGCACACCATCAAGGTGGTCAGGAACAAGAAGAGAAGTAAGTGGTTGGCTGAGGGTGAGCAAACTTTGATTGATCGGGGTTGGGCCGCAGTTATAATGTTCGTGGACGGAGCGGGGCCGTTCATTGGGGAGAACGAGGGCAAGTACTACGGCCTGGATCTAGCCGAGCCTCTATTCCTGGGCGGCGTGCCGGACTACGACAATATTTCCCCGGAAGTCAACATCGACGTCGGCTTAGTGGGTGAGCAACGGTTTGTTCGCCGATATTGGGCAAGTCCGTTCTATGCTGCGCTGTTTGCAGGTTGCATCAGCAAGTTCAAGATCGGCTACAACTTCCAAGACATCCTGCGGGACGCGCTGAACTCAACCGGCATCACCAACTGTGAAACCTGCACGGAGAACAAGTGCCAACATCGCGGCACTTGCCAAGAGGCGCTGACGACCGAAGGATACACCTGCATCTGTTCTGCGATGTTCAGCGGCCCCACATGCGACAAGCGCAAAGGAGAAGCCTGCTCTCCTTGTAAGTGGAGCGACCGTCTCTGGTTGGTCTCGGTCTCCGACTAGACTCCGGCCGGTTGTTTCAGATGCCTGCGGCGTCGGAAAGTGCATCGACACGGACTACGGCTTCCAATGCCAGTGTCCGCTGGGGCGCAGCGGGAGAAACTGCGAGAAGACTGTGCAGGTTTATGAGCCAGCTTTCCGAGACAACGCCTACATCGCCTATCCGCCGCCCAGGCCGTTGAAGCGGACGAAGATCCAGATGCGCATCAAGCCGAGGAGCGTGGATGACGGCGTTTTGCTCTACGCGGCTGAAACGGCCGAAGGCCATGGCGACTTCATCAGCTTGACCATCAAGGATCGTCACTTGGAGTTTAGGTTCGATAATGGCAAAGGTAATAATATCAGCCCGCAACTCGCACTATTTCATTTGCAATAGCTGGGTTTTTCGGGTTTTCAGGCCGTCGTACAATATAATGTCTTCCGGACGTTTCGCAAGCACGAGTGGCTTGCATCTTCAGAGGTGGTTTGCTTGAACGCTTACACTGTTCTCATCAGAACCCGTTCAGTTCTTCCGCAGAACTGAACGCGGGTTCTGATGAGAACAGTGTAAGCGTT